TCGTTTCCTTTACTTTTCTTCACTTACTCTGTCCTTTTTTTTAAACTTTTAATAAAAAGAAAAAATATTACATCGTTCTAGTGACGGAGTCCAATCCTAGTACTAAACAGAAATGTACATGATTTGATCCACCGATACATTCCTTTTCAGTATTTTAGTTCTAATTTCTACTTTTTGCACTAATTTATAATATTAATATTTTCCGAAGGAAAAATTGAGCTGTTTTTGAAGCGCAGACACGTATAAATCAACAGGTGGTGCACCCATGCAACCCACGATCGAAAGGACCGGCATTGGTACGCTCCCCCTCCCCCTCGTCCCTCCGCGCAGCAGCAACTGTGTGGAATCACTAATATGGGATCCCCAAATCGCCTGACTACGCGAACTTGTTGTACTTAATTTTTTTCTCACGTCTTTGGCATCTCCTCCCACCTCTCCCTTCCTTCTTCCCATCAGTTTCCATCTTTTCTTCCTCCTTTTTCTGCTTCTCCGTCTTTCTTTACTGTCTTCCCTTCTTCCTCCTTTCTTCCTTATGCACTGCGACCGTCATAATGACGAGGTCCAGTCGCAGTGTGGAGTTAAGACGTATATGGCTTAATGGACCGAAATGTCTTAGCTCACTCTTACCACCAACCTTCATTACTTTTTCTTGCATTTGCGCATCCACGGTCTACATTTCCAAGATTGACCTGGAAGCTGCAACCTACTATCAGGTCTGCATACAATTACCTGAGGTAGTGTTTTTACTCGTTTTTGAGGTACTTCTGTCTCTCACAGTGCTTCTTCGGCCGCAATTCTAGGGCTTTTTTCTTATTCCTGGCAAACCACACTTCTACAGTTACTGCGCCACCACTTAACTGAAGGCGAATAACAAAAACTTTTGTGGCTTTTGGAAAGTAAAGATTACCAGTGAGGCAAGCGGAGCAGTGACTCGTCCAAATGGCGGATTTGTTTCCCATCGTTCAGCAATTTTACGCGTTTCGTACGCCTTCTGCGCAATCGTTTTTCTCTCATTAAGCAGTGTATCTTCATACAGTTCTTGTATATCTTTAAAAACAATAAAAAATTGAATTTTCGTAAAATTCTGCATAATTACAGCGCATTTATGAAGCAGGATTACAAGCAGACAAAGCCAAAAAGCGATTTTTCCAAAAAAATACAAAAAGAATGAACCTCTTCATAAATCAGTCTCTTTGAGAGGTGGAAGCCTCGGAGGTAGTCCGAGTGGTAGCACATGTCAACAGCAATTACAGGTCAGAAAGGCTGCCGACAGCTTCATTTTTTCCAGGGATTGCTTAAAAATAAGCTAATGCGGCTCCGTAACAATGTTATTTTACGAAATGGACGAATAAGGGAGCGGGGGGCATTCATCCCACCGTTGGAGTCGAACCCCCAAACTCCGGTATGATAAAAAAATCGCTTACTACTGCGCAATGACTTTCAGTAGCTTAATAAATGGAAATAACTGGCAACGCACAGGCTGCCCGTGCGAAGATGCGTTTGTTTTTTGCATGGTTCCCCGCAGTTTTTGTTGCTACCGGCACCGGTTTTTTTCGGCAAATGCTTCTAGCTAAACAAATTAAGACTGGCCGCCAGAACTGTCAGAAAACACCCCCTCTTAAAATTTCAGCTTTCCAGCTTCCCTGGCTTCTGAGTCAGCAACTTGCTGGAAGAAAACTTTCATGGACCTGTACGTGTTTACCACGCATACCCAAGAGTTGGGTTTGAGCTGAATGAAACTTAGGTGGACGGGGTATATCCTCTTAAAATTACAGTCTTTTAGTTTCTCAGATCCCCGAGTTATGAACTTACCCGAAAAAAACTTTGGCGGGCCCCTACGCAATGGCGCCCATTTTGGGGACTGGGGGCCGCACGTGCATGTAGAATAAGTTTCCAAAGTTTCAGCCCTGCAGCTTTCATAGGTCTTGAGATGAAAAATCGGTACAGACGCACACACAGACAACTCCTCGTCAATATGGGTTTTTGCATTGCATAGCTGCAAAAAACGCACAAAAAGCACTATCAGTGTCAATTAAGAGCTATGCTTTTGCGGAATCTATGAAATTCCCTTCTTATCTCTTCAAATTACGACCTATTCTTTTACAAATTATAACTTACTGCCTTCAAAATTTTATTTTATATTTATTTTATCAATATCACAACAGTCGTTCCGACGAGGTTTAGTTGTGGTGCTGAATAGGAATATCTACGACTTAATGGACCGAAACATTCCTGTTTATATATCTTTTTAATACACAATAATCATGATTTTTATCTCTACCAGTCTATTTTTTTGTAAAAAATCGACATCAACGAACCAATCAACGACTGAAAGAGTGCTCCTTTGAAATTGTTAATCAGTTTTTCGATTTCTCGCTTCAGTTCTGCGGAGCTGGCGCTCACCAGCGAAGCGTGATATTCTTCAAGCTGTTCCAGCGCACGATGCGCCTCTGCAATAATTTTGTTAAAAAATAAAAAAATTTAAAAAAAACTGGAAAAATCTCCTCGGAATTATTGTTTAACAAAGACAAAATCAATCGGGCTAGGTCTGACAGGTCAAAACTTGTCCGACTGGCCATTTTTGCAAGGAATTTCCCGAAGAAAAAATGGAAGCAAATAAGAAAGTGGCCTAGTATCACAAAAAAAAAATTATAGTTTTACTCAACATTGGAGCCCAATGGATGACGAAATGTGGATGATTTAGAGGAAATAATGTAACAAACACACAAACACACACACAGACAATCCCGTGACAATATGGGTTTTGTACTGCTGTTACACAGCAAAAAACGCATAAAAACGGCAAAAAAAAAATTCTGTGTTCATTCCATAGTCTATAAGAAGTGATAAAGGAAGTGGCGTTAAATTAACAGAAGATTGCACCAAAAAAAAATCAACCATACGAGCTGGAACAACATTTCCCATCAGCAGGAGTTCTAGAAGTTCAAATTTATGCAAAAAAAGGCACTCCTCGCCAATAAGGCAGGCACCTCAATGTGGTTTAGAACTAGGAAAATTCGATATGAGTTGGCGGTGTCCCAAAAGTTCAAAAAAAATTTTGAAACAAATGTCGCTTCTGTGGAAAGAGGGAAAGGAGGTAAGAGGGGGGGGGAAGGGAAGAGCAAACCTCCTTCCTGGGATGAACGAACTTCAAATGATCTAAATAGCTCAAGCAGAGTAATTCGAGGTTATTACATACGTACTGGACATGAGGTAAGGATTCTGAGAAGTGGAGAAAGGGGACGGGGGAGAGGAAAGGGGGTGGGCGAGGAGGCCTGAGAAGTGAAAGGCGGCAGGAGACGAGGCGAAGGAGGGAGCAAGGGAAGACGAGGGAGGGGGGAAGAAAGGAAGGAAGGGAGCTGGTAAAATGTTTGATATGCCTCAATTTATATTGGATACTTAACACTGACATTCTGGGTGATTTCGCTGGATATGAGATTTTGAATGAAACAAAAAGAAAGCGAACCTCCTGCTCGACGAACAGGCATTGCTTGATAATCACACTCTTCACCGAACTACTACTGCCTCTCGTCCGTCGTCGATTACTGCAAAAAAAGAATCCATCGAAGTTTACTGTTTCAAACAAAACATGTACAAACGTGAAAGAAAATTTCTCGCGAATAAATGAAGCCTTGAAATGACAAGTACTAAAGATCGGCTCGGCTTCGAGGGCTTGGAAGGCAGCGACTAAACACTGAGAGGAATAAGGGGGAAGGCGGGGAAATGAGGTCGGAAGTGATGGTTCAGGTCTCGGGAATCATAAACAAAGAGGCTTGTTGACACTGGGAAAGAGCTGAGACTTTTTCGGTTGGCGGCACAAACGAGGGGGGAAGCGGGGGAGGGCGAGGTTTATGGGCGTCATCCTAAGGGGTTTTTTTTACGCCCAACATAAAACATAGTACCTTGAGGAGTTAGCAACCCTCAACGCGGCTCCTGAACTTTATCCAGAGAAGAAACCCGGGAGTACTACGATTTTCGCAACTCGAATCCGAACCCAAAAATCGGTACAGACGCGCAGCGCACATACAGACACATACACAAA